AACTCATATATATATATATATATATATATATATATATATTAAGACTCGAATGATTTAAATAACATAAATTTATAGCAACGTCAACTTAGCCATATAAACGAAAATCTCATATCTAGTCTACTTATCAATGGATATCTAGAATCATTTAATGATGTCCAAGAAATCTTGTTTACTTGGAAAAGATACATTTTTAGTGAAAAAAGAAAATAGAGCTACTAATAAGGCCTTACACATAGAGATGTACATAGGCTTATATTAACCTAAGTAAGAGGAGAACATGCTTATCACATAACCTTCAATTATAGTAGACTATGTTTTGGTTATAAGACATAAGTTGAAAGCATTTGAAAGGTTCAAAAGTTTAGACTTGAAAGTCATGTGACAAACTAGTAAAAATATTAAGGCATTTCGATTCGATCGAGGTAATGAATACTTAAACGTTGAAATTTTAGATCACCTAACGAGAGAATGAGATTCTCTATGGACATCACATATAAGGCATGGTCTAATCCATTATGAGTTGAATTAATATCCCTATTTTATTGGGATAAACACTCCTTACTGAAATCTTTACATTAAACGGGGTTCCAATTAAATCTATTTAAATAAATCTCATATGAGATATGGAAGGGAAAGAAAATGAGTTTATCTTTTCTTAAAATTTGAGGCCATAAAATATTGTCAAAAGGTTTGAAAAAGATAAACTAAAGCCCAAATAAAAAAAGTACTAATTTGTGAGATATCCAAAATAGACAATAGGATATCATTGTCCTACCAATAGAACAAAGTGTTATTTGTGACTAGGCATGCTAAGTTCCATGGGAAGGAATTTATAGACATTAGAGACGAGTGGAAGAAAATTTGAACTCAATAAGATTCGAGTAGATTCACAAATTAACACTTCACTAATGGAACCCTAAGTAGAAAGGTTCCAAAGTTTTATAACTATCCCACAAATATAAGCACCGAAATTCATAAGTTGAAAGAAAATTCATCAAAGGATCAAAGGATATGATCTTCTTATCTCAACACATGGTGATGTGAGCCCTAAAAGGGATGATGAAGCTAACACATATAAAGTGGCAACATTAGACATTGACTCTTAGAAAAGGAAAAAAAGGATATATAGATGACACACCCTAATGATTCTCAAAAACATGCAAATAAGATTTGCAAAATGCAAAGGTTCATTTATATACTTGAGCATGCCACTAGGAATTAGAGTTGATGTTTTAATAAAAAAAATTAAAGAGTTTGATTGTTCACAAAAAATGAAGACGAACCTTGTGTATATAAAAGGTTAGTGGGAGCTTACTAGTCATGATTATTCAATATGAAAAGTTAAACAAACGACCCCTCAATTAAAATATTATTATGTTGCAAACTTCAAAAGATTAAGATATCTAAAAACAATTTCCTAAGTATGACATGAAGGAGCAACCTATACTCAAGAGTGTAAATCTATGAAGATAGATCACTTGGAATGTGAGAAGTCTCCTAAGGCGAGATACAATGATATGATACTAAAAGATTTAGTATGGAAGAATCAAAGAAAAATTTATTCCAATGTCATGAAGCTTAATGGTCGACAATAAAGGATTTATAGCATAAGCTAAGGAACCAATGTCTCATCAATGGTTTAAGCATGTATTATGATGCAATCATCCGATTAAAGAAATTATTAGTCATGGTGACATAAGGATAGAAAGGTCCATACTAATGAAAACATAGTTAACCCCTTGATTAAGCCTTTGTCTCAACTAAAAATGAGACCCTTACTCGATCGTCGAGAGTAAGGGACATGGCCGGTTGGCTCTAGTGTAAGTGGAAGATTGTTAGTGTAGGTGCTTAAGATCCAACCATATTTGGATGGGCTTGAGTTATTATATTGTTGCCTTATTTATATTGTTTATAATAAAAGAGGTCTTTTTATTAATTTTGTCATTTACATTTATTGATTGAATAGAATTAGATAGAAGTCCACATGATATGTATTTGCATTAATGATTGATCAAAATATGTGAGACAAACACTAGTGCACATAAATAATATCATTAAATGTCTCAAGTTGTAAGATTGTCAAGAAAGGACATGATCGTATGCGATTAGACTTATGAGTGCTATGCTCATGCTATACAATAGTAGTAAGAGATCTCACACTTATTGGCATGGTGATCAAAATATGTACTTAGGTGATTTATATTAGAGAACATATCACTAGACTTAACTCGTCATAAGAAGCCATTTGGTTTAGTCCATGGGAATCTCATACAAGATGGATACAAATGATCCTTAGACTTGAAATCATCACATTTATCTCATTAAAGGATTTATGCACTTTGACAATTATTTTGATGGACCCGAGTAAAGAATTGTACATGGGCGATTCATTAAATGCATTAAGAATCTAATGAAGGTAGGTGGATGACTAAGATATGACATGTGATTCCTTGTATGCTAAAGGAGTTATCACATTGCACTTCGTTGAATGTCTCGCTCAAGAAATCTATGACCATAGTAGGACTACACCAATAGATCATAGTTGGTTTACTCTAGGAGCTAAGACATTTAAGAATTGAAGAAAACTTGTGTGATCATAATTGAACAAGACTTATAACCACGTTCGATATCACACTCGTGATAAGTTGACGTGAGGACTCGAATTGTATGGTAACCATGCTCGTGAAAGATTATAACAAATTAATTAATCCTCTTAGAGAATTGAGTAGTCATAATGCCTTACTAGAGGTCAATCTTGACTTATGTATCAAGAGATAAAAGAGGTGTCTTTTGTTCTTGATATATTGCCAACATATCTAGGAGACTATTAAGTCACACTCATAAGTTTAAACATTCACATGATTACAAAGAAGCAAAGATATTAGTCCTATTTTGGAAAATATTTCTAAAAATGGAAGTTTTTTGAAATGAAGAGTTTCCTAAAATGAAAGTTTCATAATTTGAAAGTTAGTACCAAATTTGAAAGTAAATAACATAAAATGAAAATGAGTTTTATAATTTAGGTTTAAAGGTATTTTGAAAAATTGTTTCGTGACGTGGGTCACCTAAAATTATCTAATTTAATTTATTTAGTAATCTAAATTAATTAAATGAGAAAAAATAATTTTAGGCCAATATGTTTAATTAAAAGCCTAAAAGATAATTTGGTGGGAGGATAAACATGGACATTATTGGATGAGGATGAATGTTTTATAGATAAAGATTAAAAGTCCACATATTAAATAATTCCTAATCCTTTAAGGATTAGGAAGTAACAACCAAAAGTCCAATAAGGACTAGTTGTCGCCCCCTCTCCTTGTCTTTGGAGGATAAGGAAACTCTCCCTCTATAAATAGCAGAAGAGGTATGACACAAGAAAAGTTTTGAAGGGAGACTTTTTGTGAGAGAGAAAATTCGACAATAGCAAGAAAGAAAATTAAGGCATTCAACCCAAAGTAAAAAGAAGGAGAAAATTATTTTCTCTCTAACCCTAACATGCCACCTCTCTCTCTCTCTTTTGGGTTATCATAAAATTGCCGAGGATTAGATTTTTGTAAGAAACACTAAATAAATCGGAAAAGATAGAGCTAGCACTCTACCAATTTTGAGTGCTTCTTTATGGTTGCTTGGATTGCGTGGATAATCAATAGAAGCCGAACGCTTGAACGACTCCTTTCTATACTAAAGAATTTAGATCTCGTGCTATAAAAGGTAAATTCTCTATTCATCGCTTTAATTTATGAATATATAGTTAGTTGATTCAACGATATAATCTTAGGCCCTTTAGATGGAGAAAATTAGTTTTATTTCACACCTCCATAGGATGCATAATCCTTCAATTTTCAATGAGGCTCACATTATGTCTTAGTCAATACATTTGAAAGCACAAAGATGTACAAAGATTTGAAGCTTGTTTATTGGTGGAAAATGATAAAGAGGGATGTTGTAGAATTTGTTTCTACGTGTTTGACATGTCACTACATATAGGTAGAACATTAGAGGCCATTAGGTTTGTTGAGACAACTGGATACACACAGGTGGAAATGGGAGCATATCAATATGGATTTTGTAATTGGGTTGTTAAAGTTAGAAAGGGAATCAAATGCAATATGAGTAATTGTGGATAGATTGACTAAGTTAGTGTATTTTTTTCCCGTAAAGACCATTTTTACCATGACATAGTATGTTGAGTTGTACATTAAAAAGATGTTGAGATTGCATGGGATTCTAATATTAATTGTGTCGGATCGTGATTCTAGGTTCATTTTGAATTTTTAAAAAAGTCTACATCAAATGATGAGAACCAAATTGAATTTCAACGTATCCATAGAGTGATGACAAACTGAGAGGGCGAATTACATTTTAGAAGACGTTAAGAATTTGTGTTGGATTAGAACGCTAAATAGAAGAAGTATTTATCTTTGGTGGATTTTGCACACAATAAGAGTTATCAAGCTAACATTGACGTGCCACCATATAAGGCATTATGTGAAAGAAAATGCAAATCACCTCTTCATTGGGATGACGGCAAAGAAAGAAAGTAGTTAGGACCAAAATTGGTACAACAAACAACAAATGCAAATAGAGAAGACCAGGTTGATGATTAAAACAGCATAAAGTAGATAGAAAAGCTATGCATATATGAGAAAGAAGGATGAAAAATTTAAGTAGTGTTAAAGATAGAATCTATCGATTAACCCTTCCTCCGTCTTTAGCTAGAATTCATAATGTATGTCATATGTCAACACAATAAGTAAACAGATACATCTAAAATTAACAGCTACTTAAGAATAGAAGGAAAAAAGATAATGCAGATGTATGACCTCTCTTTCTTTCACAAAGTATTTGCAACTTACAAAAATTCTGCTCTTCTTTTTCCTAGTGTTAGCACTTTTTTTTTTTTTTTTTTTTACTGTAATGGAGAGATGTAGACTAAGTGTGCATGTCTATTCGCTTCAATTTCACCGAATCTGAGCTTGTAGATTACAACACTTCATGTTTCACTGTACTACAAGAGACTCCTCATTCTCAAGCTGTGAGGAGACTGTAGTGTCAAAGACAGCACCATCAATATTCAAGTTTGAGACTTCACCACCTAAGGAAGATATCTCATCTTCTCCACTAATAGATGGAGTTGGGGATGCATCAAGAGTAGCGGTACAAGTCCCATTAGAAGGGGACAGAGACGATTCCCCATCCTCCATTTCTTTTTGCAAGCTCCAGTACATTATGCTAGCAGCTAGAGTTAAAATCATCTTGTGGTTTACCTGCCACCAAATCACAATAACAATGATCAAATTGAATTTTGTGTGAATATATGAATCCATTTTACAAATTTGATATCTTAACATCTAAGGCTAGCATGAGTAGCAGGAAAGCCAACCCAATAATAGTCTGGTCATCATTCTCTGAAAATAAATAAATAAACATCAATGCTGGAGTCACTCATGATTTTGTAAGTTTGAGAAAGCAATGCAGGCAATTCATTTCTTTCTCGTGCAAGAACAATATCCACCTCACAATCACAGCAAACTTCCCAAAGATACAAAGAGAAAAAGCATGGGAGGCAGATATCTAAAAATTCTCTCAAAATAAAATAAAATAAAATAAAATTGTAGCATGCATACCTCCATGATGTCTTCAGGCAACAAGAAAATTGAACAGCCCAGTTTCCTTGCCACACTGATAATGTAAGTAGCATTCAATCTCTTCTCTTCATCTACAATTACAAAATAAAAATAGGAGAAGCGTCATTTTTCATTTGTCCAGAAAGTAATGGCACTTACTAGAACACATCATACCACTTTCACCCTTGGTGACAAGGTTCCAATTAACCACCCTCGGCTCAACAGCACTAAGAAGCTCAAGGAAGAATATTCCACTCGATAGGTTTTTATCCTGTTAAACTTCAAAATTAGAAACCACACAAAGAAATCATGATTTTGTGTGTGTGTTTGGGGGGGGGGGGGGGGGGGGGGGGGGTTGTGCGGAGGGGATGGGGAGGGGAGTGGGTTCAATAAAACAAAATGGCAGAGTATGTTTAACCTTAAAGTGCTCAATTTTAGAAGTTCTTCCTCTTTGTTTAATTTTATAGTTTGCCCATTTTAGAATATCTGCATCAGTTATATTCTTTCCTTGGGAGTGGGATCTCAAGTTCTTCAGGAGTTGAAGCATGTTATATCTCATCAACTGCCATAAGAAAGCTGAAACAAATCTAATCAATTTTAAGCATGTTCACAACATTGCACATAGCCATTTAAGAATTGAGGAGGAAGGAAATGAGATTCTCATAGAATATGGGACCTGGTGAGCAAATTTATGTCTAATAATTCCATAATGATCAAAGTTTACCTTTTCTATGGGTCCATTTCACGTGCATTATCCACAATAGGGAGATTAAAAAAAAGAGTTTCTGATAACCTAGGCTATACAAAAAGACATGAACTATACAACTCAAATATCCTGAGCAATGTTGCTTTCAATTTCTTCTTTGCATTTTTAAAAAGAAACAGCAAACTTGAAATGGATGTTTAGAAGACATTGATACACATCTAAGTTATGGAGGAAGGATGTCTTAAAATACTTGAGCACAGAACATATTGCAGAATATACAAGCTTCCTTTGTTATGATTTTTACAGTGACTAAAAATTAAAAAATAAAATCATGATCTTGTAACACAATCTAATATTTACAATTCCCTTCACATAGTCAATATTTCACTTATTTGATCACAAGATGTTTAGAAAATCACCAATGTCCATACAACATTATCAAAGAAACTCCTAAAATGCAACATATCAAAGTCTATTGATTTATTTATGGTTTATTCAGCTTTGAAAATATAAAAAACATGCACATAAGTTGCAATCAAGAGCATGAGAAATTTATGCAACAACATATGTAACATTGTGAAACAACTCATCTTGTGTATCTTCTTCCATTTAATTTTTTAACTTGCATTAGCTATTGTTAATTCATTTAAGGTTAAAGAAACCCCAGCAAGATTGAGAAACAATAAAAGCACATCACATCAGGGAAATTTATTGAAAATATCAACCACAGATTCAACAAGAAGGACTAGATCATGAAAATTACCAAGTATGAGCTTCTTATTTTCTTGTACAATATCATTTCCAGCTACATTAACAAGGGAAAATTTCAGTTGTCTACCAATCCTTATGACTTGATTGCAATTCTCTACTTTTCTGAATGGCATCTTGATTGGAGGCTTAGATGCTTGCTTCCAGTTAACTGATCCAGGAGAAACCTTGTCAAGCACTTCCAAAAGTACCCATCTGCATACATAATTATTTCGAAATCAAGCTTGTGAATTGAAAACTTTGACGCCAGAATTAAACAATATGGTATTGAACTAAAAGGAAAAATATAAGATTTCAACTCCACCAAGAATTGTTTAAAATACTTGCAAATTTTCCTAAGCTTTATTAATACTATATTCAACCAATAATTGGACCAGTAAGTTGTTGCATTTTTTCAGTTGCTTTGAAAAAATGAACTCACCCGTTTCTAACATCCTCAAATACATTGTTAACATATGTAACAATTCCAAGACTGTTAATCCATAGTCGAAAACATCTTTCTTCTCTAGAAGTTTGCACATCATCGGTCATCATCTCAGCAAAGGAGATCTTTTTGCTGTCTGTAGTCAAGCCATTCCTGCAAATGTAGACACATCCTTTCCTCTCAAATACAAGATTAAAGACTACAAGATAGAGATAGAGTTTTGATGTTAAATAATCTAAATTGCCAGAACAATCATGTGCTAAGGGAAGAGATTCAATAAAGAGAAGAGCGATAAGTAGAGGACCTGATTATCAAAATCTGAAGAAGGAATGCAAGGCAAGTTTAAGTTGAAAACATAAGATTAACACAAGAAAATCATGATCAATTGTAAAGTACTCCCTTTAAACGTTATATATAACAGAAACTTACAAGCTGATAGTTTTAACCAACAATGAGTAAACATGTAGCAAAGTTCAGCTAAGCAAAGAATGTGTACTTCATAAATTCCTGTTCACCTGGATAATGTTCACATTTTCATAATACCTATTGAAACAAAAACCTCCTTCCAAACACTGCATGCTTCATATAATTGGCCATTGAGCATGCTATTGGGTAATCCAATAATCAAAACTTCTTTCATATTAGATATTGATGCTTACATTCTATAAGATGAACATACTATAAAAGGTGAAAAAAGAAGCTATTGAACTTGAATACTAGAAGGCTGATTCCATTTCCAATTAATATTATATGGCTTGAGCAGCATACGGCTTCTAAGTGCTAAGTATAAAAAATGTGCAATTTTAATTTTCAAGGAAATCTGACAATGTTTAACTACCAAATAAAAAGGGGGTTAAGAGGTTCTTTTACAGAGGAGCAAAATCAAAATGGACCCCCAGGCCATTGCAAATTACAGGCACTACCTAAAAGTATCCAACTTTGATAAAAGCAGCCTCTGATTTTCAATGGCTAACAGAAAGTTGACTCAAACCTCCTGCACGTGTACAATTGTCGTGAGGGAAGAGGTCAGCTTTTTAGCCAGTTAACTAGTTATCAGTAATCCAAACCTTAGGATGGTTTTATATATTACCATATACGAAGTTCGCATTACAATAAAATGAATATTGCCATGTTTGTTTCCCACCTTTGATGAAATATTTGTGCCAAAAATGCAAGATTAAGATTTGGCAATCCTTGAACAATATCATCTGGTTTTAAATATCGTTTACAGCCCATCCGCTCTGCATGATCAAGAACCAACTCAGCCCTTTCCTTAGGATCCTTGGTATCCAACGTAGATGGATTGCAGTGCTCTGGTGCAAGAACATTAAGCAGGTACGCATATGCCTTTCCATCCTACACATGACCGAAGACATTATTACAAGTATATCAGGTATAATTAGACAAAGAAAGATAAATTAAATCAAGCCTCGATAGAAATAGCATGGGTAGGGAAGAACAATAGTTAGGAGCTAAGACCACCTATAATGAACAACAATGAAAGATTTAGCATGTTCTGAATAAGTATATGTGCATCAAATCATTATTTAACCATTCATACCTTTTCTAGATAAAAACAAAACCTATGATTATATAGTTTTCCATTTATTCATGTAATGCAAACTTGTCATACAAGATTTGTGCACAATCTAATCAAGCTATAAACTCAAACACCGAAGAACAAATGAAAAGAAACATGCATATCGACTTAATCAATAAATAAATACACAACTCCTTGCAACTTACTTCGAAAATGAAACTAGACATACAACTGAAATGGCTAGTACCTTCACATCAGAAGAAAAATTTGAAACAGGTTTCTCATAGCCTGCTTTCTTGAGATGGAAATTTATCCATTTCAATAACACCTTTTCAGGGGCTAATCCCATAAGCTCCTCAACATCCTGAAGGATACCACAGATCATGCTGAGTCAATTATTCATAATCTTCAAAGCTTAAATTTTTATTTTATTTTTTTTAAAAGGTTTTGGCAAAAAATTGAAATAAATTAAATCAACATCCCATTACATTGTTGTCATCCACCAATTCCACAAGCTGAGGTGTCTTCTTAAGGCTAAGATCTGCCAGTAGTTGAATCTGATATTATGCACTCAGTATTAGATGAGAAGGTTATTGGAAAAGATACAGAAAAAACTAAATTACTACAGAAACAACAACAGCCAAGCCTCAATCCCAAACTAGTTGGGATTGGCTATATGGATCCTTTTGCACCATTCTGCACCCAGACATATAACAAAATTGTTAATAAATAAGGTAAGCAACTCTATACTTCTAATAAATAGAATTTTAATAAATTCTAAAATTAAATTAGAAGGTCACATTATAATGATTGATACTATAATTTTGAGTATACTAATATAGTAATTATAGGTATTAAATTGACTCTAATTTAGAGTATACTAATATAGTTATTATAGTTATAAAATTGAACATTTGCTTATTATATTAAAATGAATAATGATAAGTTGGCTTTTAAATCGTCAAACTTTCCTGTTTTATAGGAGTTGAATCAAATCAATTGCAAAGATTTGATTAGAAATCAACAAAAGAAAAAGTAAGTGGACCTAACCTATTGAATCACGACTCTATCCACTATTCTGATAGTCAAATTTGATATAGATGAAATTGGAACAGTAGATCCGCTTTTTTCTTTCATTTTCATATTAATTTGGACTCCAAAAAAATCTGTCGATATTTCTAATTCAATCTTTTTGTTCCCAGTTATCTAGTTATTCTATAGGAATGCATTACTATTTCCTTATTGCATTCCACAAAAAGTTTATTCGAAGTCACAACATCAATATCATGAGACATTAAATCTTCAATCAAAACAGAAAGCTCAATGTAATATGGTTATTCTAGTAAACATGCCCTTTTCATGGTCTTTTATATTGGATCCATGAGGTAATATTCTGTGCAAAATTAATATATCAAAAATTCTGAGGCTCACCTTTATAATTTGAGAAATCAACCCAAGCAACAGATGAGGCTGCAAAATGAAAAAACAAAATAAAATCGTTTAGACCACAATACATAAAATACCGAGTCAGAATCAAAATTAGCTAAAACTTACTCTTCCTTCCACCAAGTCCTGTGTGCCAATGTTTACCACTGTGCATCCGATAGCTATCGCAGAGTTGAGGCAAAGGCTATGGTTCTCATTTCTTTCCCATGGGTTAAGAACTCGTTTTGTGTTGATGGCTCGTTCATCTATTGTCCCTGGCACAGCAACATTGATGAGCTTACTGCATCAAAATCCACAAGATAAAATCAACACCACCACCAAATGTCGGTTTTGATGGACAAGCAAAGTAGAGAAAATCAAGCAAACAAGTTTAATTACCATAATAGCACTCCATCTTTTACGAGATTGAATAAATCATTTGTAGCTGGATCTATGGGAAGAAATTGTTTCAGAAATGGGTCATCCCCGAGATAGCTGTTTATGTGAGCAACATAAGAAGCTTTCTCAGATTCATTAATTGTGTGAAGAAGAGTAGTAGTCATGGCCTTGAGAAAAGATGAACTCTGCTTAGAAGCCCCTGATTTTGCTGTAGCTAGACCTTGTAAATTCAAGTATACCTGCTAATTCCATGCAATTAGGGAAATATGTTACGTCCTAATTTATTCTAATTTATAGGTAGTATATGGATATACAAATTCCAATAGTGTTAGTTTAAAGAACTATAATCTGAATTTTACTTCATAAAAAAGGGAAGTGAACAAGAATGGGACAAATCAAACTCTAAATTAGACACACAATGACTGACCTTGAGGAAGCCTTCAAAATCAATCTCATTGCTTAGATCATCAGAATGCGACTCATTCAATATCCCAGTTATCTCCTCCTCGTTAAACATTGGATTAAAAGCTTTTAATTTAACCATCAAAGGCGGCAAATCTCCAAGAATAACTTTGCCATTTTGATTCTTCAGTGCCATAAACTAGAATCCATGATGAAATTAAAATTAAGCTAAATCATGAAAAGCATGCATAGCAACCTAGCATGAAAGAAAGATTAATAAAACACACATAGTTCAAACATGTAACCAATGAAGACAAACTCACTTTTGACTTGAGGTTGTGAAGCTCAACCTGCGTAAACTGACTTTGCAGCCATTGATCAGAGACATGAACACCCATATAACCCGACATCTCTATGAATTTCCAACGCAGAAACCAGTAGCTACTCTTTCAACAGATCCGTCCAAATTGATAAAATAAAAAATAAAAAAATAAAAAAAATAAAAAGGCAAGGCCTCAAGAGTCTTTGAAACCGGACTCCAAAACCCAACAATAGGAATAAAGATTCAAATTTAGATCCTGATATACGCAAATAACAACAACAAACCACTAGCAAATTGTCCTCACAGATAGCCGTAACTTGCCTGAACCGCTAAGACCCCACTTCCTTGTCCCTGAAAAAGTAAAACCCAGAAAAACTCACTTCAAATAAGGGTCTGTAGATAATAAGCAAACAACTAAAGGAGGACCAAAATGATCCTTAATTAGTGTTACAAAAAATGAATCAGAATCCATTAATTAAATAAAATGCAAGATAACGGACAATGCATTATTAAAAACAAACACCATATCCGATTAAAAAAAAAAAAAAAACCGAATATAGAATCACAAAATCACAAGAAATTTAAGATAAGCTAATAAACAAGGCAACAAAAACACTAAATATAGATGCACCAATCCACCAAACCGAAAAAAAAAAACAAAAACATAAATAACATTTAGCAAAACCAAACTTTTATTACATATTACAAGAAATGAAAAAGAATCCATTAAAAGAAACGTAAAATCGAAGAGAACTGAAAATTGCATACCTTTTAAGAACAACATATTCACGTTAAAGAAAAAAAGGCATCAAAATCTTTAATATATGTGTTTATAATATGAACGTGGCGACAGAGAGAAAAGAGAGAGAAGGTATCGATTTTTCTTCATGGGAAAGCAAAGTGCGAGAGAGAATATACGATTTTTAATTTTTTTACCAAAGAGACAGCCAAGAGCTTACTGGCATTGTTACCGAGTTGTAGTTAGTTGTGGTTGAATTTGAGATTTTTGGAAGGTTGAGGCACTTATGCCACTCATGCGTTGAGCTACAACTCATTTGATTTGTTCCTATCGTTGATGGCAATGGTTTTCCTACGCTAAATTCATGACTTGCCGTCTTTGTTTGCCACCTCTTCATACTTTGGAGACACGTATTCTTAATCAGCTGCTTTTTCTGCTATTTTTGTTTTCTTCTCGACTTATCAGTCGTAGATTAATTAAATTAGTTTTTTTTTTTCAATGACGAGGGATATTATCAACCTATTATATTTATCAATGAAAACTATTTTTTAAAAATATAATTTTATTAGCTCGATAAATTAAGAAAAAATTAATAAATTTTTCTCAATATTTATCTAAAAATTTAGAACTAACAAATTAAAGAAGAAAGCATAAGTCATTAGAATTAATAAATTAAATTAGCGGTTTCACAAAAATTTTGCTCCCTCTTTCTTCTTCAAAGTTTTATGTTAGTTGGTGTGCTATTTATTTTATTTATTATTTTTTAATCTTTCTTTTTTTTTTCATATTGCATATTGTTATTTTTCCAAACAAACAAACATTTAGTATAATTTACTTGAAAAACAATGTTTTTTATTTCTAGTTGTAACACTTTTTTCTTTAATACATATGGTATTTTTGAGTTAGTGCTTTGAATTATCACTGCATTTAGTTAGAAGAAAATGAGAATTTAAGTGTCTTTAACTTCTTTCAAATCACGAGTTAAGTGCTCCATCATTAAAATTTGACAAATAATTGTATGTTTTATAATATATTGTGTATATTTTTACAAGAGTGCTTTTCAATTATTGTTGACACACATATAAGATTTCTAAACTAAAAAATTAAAATAATAGAGTTGCCACCTAACAATTTAAGGAGGTTGAGAAACTTGTAATTATGAATAACGAGTTGATTATGTTTATAAAAATATATATTAAAAAAATCACATAAAACCATCTTTTCCTATAGAAAAAAATTGTCTAACTTGCTCTTATTTCTAATTCATTTTCAAAAACACATTATTTGCTAAATTATTTTCTAAAACCTATTTTCGAGTTCATTATTGTTACGGTTGTTACGAGCTATATCTTAATTATAAGCTGAATTATAGGAATCAACGTCTTTATTTTAGGTAGAATTGTAGGAATCAACAAAAGTTGTGTATGTGTGTGTGTGATATGAATAAACATACTAAAGAAGTTTTCTAAAAAATTACATGGTATCAAAGCCTTGTAGAGTGACTAGTTATTCTTTTTTCTTCTCTAATTGTTTGCCTAAGTGACCGGTGTGCAAAGCTTTAGGTCACCCTCGTAAAGTGACCAATTATTGTTGCTTGGTCTTATATAACATAGATTTGCCTATTTCCATCTAATCGGGATCTTTTTTTTTTTTTTCGAGTGTGTTTTGCAAAAAAAAAAAAAAATTATATAATCGTGAGTTATAGTCGATAAGAAATCGGGAGTTGTGCTTGATGCAATTCTTGTGATGTCCAAAATCATAGAACATAAGCTCAATGGTTCCAATTATCTATAGTGGAATAAGACAATTCGAAGTTATCTAAGGAGTATTGATAAGGATAATCACCTTACCGAAGATCCACCCACAGATGATTCGAAACGGACATGGCAATGGGATGATGCCCGACTATTTTTATAGATATGGAATTCCATCGACAATAAGGTATTTGGTTTGATTAATCATTGTGAATTTTTAAGGAATTGATGGAATATCTAGTTTTCTTGTATTATGGAAAAGGGAATATTTCTTGCATGTATGAGGTGTGCAAAGTTTTTACCGTGCATAAAAACAAAATAGATCTCTCACAACCTCGCTTTATGGAGTTTAAGAAAACCTATGAACAACTTAATGTTTATTACCATTTAATTCTAATGTGAAAGTTCAGCAATCTCAATGGAAGCAAATGACTCGTCATGAGTTTCCTAGCTAGTCTTTCTCCCGAGTTTGGAAACGCCAAATCTTTGATACTCTCTAGTCCTAAGATCTTTTCTTTGCAAGATACATTTATTAAGGTGCTTCGCACATATAGTACTCCATCCATTTTGCTTACTCCATCCATTTTGCTTACTCCATCTCTTCGACCTATTAGTGCTTTTGTGAGTCGAAGTGGTGGGTATAATTGGAGTGGTAATAGAGGAGGGAGTACAAACAACCATGCTTGTAGATTGATTTAAGTACTTTGTTACTTTTGTTGATGAAGTACTATGTGTTACTTTTGTTGATGATTATTCTTGTGTCACTTGACTATATATAATGAAAAATTGTTCGAGTTATTTTCTTATTGTTATGCTTTTTGTGATAAAATCAAAACACAATTTAATGTTTTTACACACATTAAGAAGTGATAATGCCTAAGAACATTTTTCCGAGTCTTTTCATTCTTACATGATTCGAATGACATTCTTCATCAATCCTTTTGTGTTGATAACCCACCTCAAAATGGAGTACCTAAGAGAAAAAATAGACGTCTTCTTGAAATAACTCAAGCACTCTTATTTCAAATGTAAGTCACTAAACTGTTTTAGGTCGATCCAATTTTCACTCGCTTGTTTTTTGATTAACCATATGCCTTCCTCTATTCTTAATGGTGAGATCCCTTATAGTGTTCTCTTTCCCGCTAAGTCTCTATTTCCTATTGAACCTAAGATATTCGATTGTACTTGTTTTATTCATATAGTTTATCCCCAAGTCACAAAACTAGATCCAAAATCTCTAAAATATGTCACCATCTCCTTCTACCTTGTAAGGAATCATCCGGCCTTCTCCGACTACATTGTCTAAATAATATGAGAGAACTTGCTGAACTAGGGTAAATAATAAGAGAGATAAAGGGTCCCCTTGTCGGACTTCTCTACTAGACTTAAAAAACCCATAGTTCTTTCCTTGAATCCTAATCGTATACCAAGCATTACTCATGCATTGATATACTAGATCACACCACTAGTTACAAAAACCTATTTCCTTCATGGTCTTTAACAAAATGACCATTCAACTCTATCATAAGCTTTAGGCGTATCTAAATTAAAAATAATATTGCTACCTCGAACATTTCTATTTAAATCGCCTCTAATTCTTGAGCAACTCGTAATATTTTTAGTTATACTCATACCCTTAATAAAACCAGACTTGCTTCACTAATTCTTCATGGTCCTTTATATATTTTTGTAATATTGACACACGAAACACATTATGTACTAAGAAGAGAGTTAGAGATAGAGCTAATTTATATGTAGGATCTCCAATTTTTTCTAGTATTTCAAATGATTCAATGTATCTTGGGCTCAATTTTTCTTTTCTTTTTGAACCACATTACCCCTTTTATCGGTGCTACGGTAGGAATACCTTATCACCGACCTCAAATTCCAAGTCCTTTCTTCAAACATCCGTACAACTCTTTTACCTACTTTGAGTTGTTTTCGGTCTTAGCGTAATCTACTCAACCATTTTTGCTATTTGTAAAACCATTTCTAGTCCTAATAGCTTTCGCTTACCAACATCATCCTAGTATATTGGTGATCGACACTTTCGCTCGTGTAAGGCTTCATATGGTTCCATACCAATAATGGCCCGGTAACTATTGTTGTAAGTAAACTCTATAAGTGGTAAATATCTTTCCCATCTAACGGACCAATTTAGAAAAGAAGCTTATAGCATATCCTCTCAAATTTAATTCATCTTCTCTATTTGTTCATCAATCTAAGGGAAAAATGTTGTATTAAAATTTAAATTAGTTCCCATCACTTGGTGTAGACTCTTCTAGAATCATGATGTGAACCGTAGGTCTCGATCTAAAATAATCAAAACCGAAATACCATACGAGTCTCACAGTCTCCTTTTAAGTATAATTATGCATATTACTTGTATGGAATATATGGACTTCATTATAAGAAAATGAGTCGACTTGGTCGATCTATCAACAATCACCCATATGCTCGTCGGCTTTTTTTTAATCGAGGCGAGTCCAAGTATGAAGTCCATAGTGATGTACTCCTATTTCCATTTGGATATGTCAAGTAGTCTTAATAGTCTTGATGGTCTTTAATTCTCAATCTTGACTTGCTGACATATTAAGTATCTCACTATAAAGTTAGTAATGCTTCGCTTCATCTCTTTCCACTAGTAATTCTTTTTCAAGTCTCGATACATTTTAGTATCTCTTGGATTGATGGAATAAGGTGTAGCATAAACTTCCCTCAAAATGTCATCTTGAAGCTCCTTATTAGTGGGAACACAAATCCTTCCTCGATATTGCCAAATGCCTTCATTATCCGTGGTATATTATGTGACCTTTCTTTTAGCTATATCCTTCTAAACTTTAATCGATTTGAATCCCGTAGTTGACTATCCTTAATTCTCTATCTTATGTTGAGTCATAATATCATTACACCCAACATCATTTCACTTGTCTCTTTTTGGTATAACTTCTAATTGTAAATTTTCCATATCCTTTATAATTTATACTTGCATAGCTGCCAATGTCTTTGACTTAAAGTATCCATCATGATTTTTGCTTTACTCGGATGATAAAAGAAGGCAATTTCATGATCATTTAACACTTCAAGTCACTTCCTTTGTCTCATGTTTAACTCTTTCTAGGTGAAGATATATTAGAGGCTCTTATGATCGGTGTAGATGTCACACTTGATACCATAGAAGTAATGCCTCCAAATCTTTAAAGCAAGAATTACAACAACTAACCCCGGATCATAAGTAGGATAATTCTTCTCGTAGTCTTTTAATTATCTAGATGTATAGGTAATAACTCTACCAGGTTGCATCAATGTTATACCTAGTCCAATTCTTGATGCATCGATATAGACTATGAAGTCTTCATTATCTTCTATTAGAGATAAAATAGGTGTTGTAGTCAACCCGAATTTTAGCTCTTAAAAACCCCTTTCATAGTCATCATCCTACTCAAATTTAGCATTCTTCTTTGTCAATTTAGTTGATAGAGTAGCTATCTTGTAGAATCCTTTTACAAACTTCCTATAGTATCCTACCATACCAAGGAAGCTCATTACCTTTAATACATTCTTAAGTTGTTTCCATTCATGCACTCGTTTGTACTTTAATAAGATCAACCATGACTCCATCCTTGGAAAAAATATGTCTAAAAAATGCTACTTGCTTGAGCCAAAATGCACATTTCTTAATTTTAACATATAATTTATACTTTCACAAAGTTTGTATTGCCTTAGTCCGATGCTCCAAAATGTTCATCATGAGTCTTAGAATATATAAGGATATTATCAATAAAAACTATGATGAAATTATCTAAGTACTCATGGAATACTCTGTTTATCAAGTCTATGAATATGACTAGTGCAATGGTTGACCAGAATGGCATTACAAGAAACTCATAATAATCATAACAAGTTCTAAAGGTCATCTTCTTAATGTTATCTTTCTTAATCCTTAACCGATGACACCCTAAATGTAAATCAATCTTAGAGAATATCAAACTTCTCATTAACTGATCAAATAAATCATCAATATGGGGAAGGGGATATTTATTCTTAATAGTCACTCGATTTAAGTCTTGATAATTAATGCATAATCGTAGTGACCCATCTCGCTCCCATAACGAACAAGCTAGGCTAAATTTATCTATTGTCCAACAACTCTTGTAATCGAGCTTTCAACTCCTTTAATTTTACTAGAGCCATTCTATATGATGTTTTACTTATTGATGTTATTCCCGGTTCTAATTCAATCTTAAAGTCAATCTCTTTTCTAGGGAGTAATCCCGATAAACTTGTAGAAAGAAATCAAGGAAGTCCCGTACTACTTCAAAATCCTCCAATTTCATGCTCCCCTCCTTGATAGTATCAATAATACTCATAGATACCCTAAACATTCCCCTCTTATTAACCTTTAGGGCATAATGTTTATTGGTGCAACTTTAGTCTCTACTATCAACTCAAAAGATTGCTCTCTCGACCTTTGGAAAACTACTTTTCTTGCTATATAATCAATTGATGCATAATTCTTAGATAAACAGATCATGCCTAAGATGACATTAAATTCCCAAATACTTAGGACTACTAGGTTCACATACAAAACATTATCTTTAATTTAGACCTTACAATCCCTCACAATATATTAGGACTTAACCGACTCTCTTGCTGGAAAAGTCACCTTATATATTATCTTTAATAGTCGGGTATCATACCTAATCTCTTCAAGAATGACCATGCAATGAATCAATATGTGACACCCGAATCTATTAGTGTATATGAAGTAAGATTATGGATAAGGACATTACCGCATATAAAATTTTCCTTCCCTTTATTTGCTTTATCTCGTTGCTCCTAGGTCATATTTTAGACTCATCCAAGAATTTATTGTTCAAGCATTACCTCCCTCTTTAGATAGTCTATTACCAAATCTCCAGACCTCTCGTAGAAGTAGCACACATTGGTGCCAATCGGATAGCTACCACTATGTAGACGACCATATTTTGGATAGCTTGGCTTATCCCATACTTCATTCCTTGGTGGTACAGTAGAAGCCTTAGCCTTCTTAGTATTTCATCTAGTATTCCCTTGCCAAGGCCTTATAAATTGTTTCCTCTTTCTTAATTGGCTAACGAGCTTACTATAAATAATGAGCCTTCTCATTAGTGGGAACCGAACCTATTCCTTCTTATATGATTCAATTTAGAGTGTTCGACTTATCATCTTCGAGTAGTTGTCGACTGACACTCATACTAAGCTCTACATCTTAACTTTTAAATCATTTAGCAAGCTTTCTTTCTTTTGTTCCTTATTGCTCAAAATGAAAATGGCAATCAATAACCATACTCGAATTATCGAATATATTCAGCCATAGTCATGTGCCTTTGTTTGAATTTCAAGAACTCCCGAATCTTTCAAGACCTAATAGTGTTTAAGAAGTATTTTTCAATAAACACTCCCTTAAGTTGTCCTAGGTAATTTTTGGCATGTCTAGGGTGACTTTCGTCAATTCCAATCATATGCATGCGTCACCCATAAGCATAAATGTAACACAAGCTACTTTATATATGTCTTCTAATGCCAAATGCTTAAATATCATTTCCATTAATTCGAGACATTCTTCAACGACCATTAGATTTGATTTACCTTTGAACTCCTTCAGATTAAACTTCGAAAGCACTCAACTATGTTCGCTTCTTG